GTAAGATATTTACATTTTTCGCTTTGCGTGTGGGGTGGGTGGGTCTTGGACAATGACCAAAGAAAGCAAAATTAGAGAGCTTTCGCTGTGGTATAAATGTGCCATGGAGGAGTTTTGCTTTATTTAACCAGTCCCCGAAGGCTTTCTTTTACTGCTTTATAAGCTAATTCTTTTGAGCAGCCCATGCTTGTTTTGCTCCAGCGTTCTTGAAAGCCTCCAAGGAGCTATTTATAGCTCTTGTGATGAAAAGCTTTGGGGTGGGTGGTTTTTTTTTTTTTTAATTTGTAAAAAGTCTTATAATTGTTTCTTTTCCGAAACATCAGATCATAAACTGCTCTACTGCTTGGGGAAACTGGAATCAAAATATCCCTCCCAAGTCATAGTAATGTTTAAGAATTCCTGGGAGAGAGATTCAATGGCAAGATAAAAAATATATGAGAATTCTTGCTGCTGCAAGAATGTTAATGTAAATTTTCTTGGCATTTTAGTGAACCCCACCTTCAAAAAGAAGCCAGAAGCTGCTATTAGACTTTTTTTTCTTCTTCTATATTTAATGTCGTCGTTGTCTTGCTCAATAAAATAAAATCCGAAGAAATAGGATTGTTCTTCAGCAACACAGACTAGAAATGTAAAAAGGAGACTTGGAGGACTTATACTCTCTTCAGCAAAACTGAAATATGCTAGCTCTGTTTAGCACTTAAAATTGCTCATCTCCAAGGTGAAGCTATCCGCTCAATTCCTATTTAAAAAAAAAAGAATTTCTAAAATCAGGACACACTGCTGTTGATTGAAAACGGGAATAAAACAAATACCAAATGCCATTGACATAGAATCACTGTACAGGAGAGGCAGAATATCTCTGTGTTGGGATTCATACCCTAAAATTGTGTGTTTGTGTGTGTGTGTGTGTGTTTTAAATCTGCTTCCCATTCATGTGAGCTAAATTGTAATTGATTCCAGAACCATTAACATCAAACCTGCAAATTAAAAAGATAAAATAAACAAAAAGCTCCTTGGAGCAAAGCGAGTCAATGAAACCCTTGTAGTGCAACTTAAAAGGCAGCGAAGGTTGGATGCATTCACGAAAATGGCAGCTTTAGGTTATTGACCAAGGAAAACGCCATTGGGAAAGGGAGACTTTGAATGCGATCCAGCATCTGTCCAGAAACCCCAGAACCGCTTAGACTGAATCGTAGCCCTGTTCTCCATCGGAAGCTGCATCTGAACATTTGTATGTAGTGCGCGATGGGGAAATTTATTCTGTTATGCTCTTCTAATATGTGACAGTAAGCTTTCTCAAGGAGGAGCCACATCCATCAATGCTGCGTCTCGGTTTGGATTTAAAATGGCACTCGAGTAGCATTGAGCATGCATTGCCTTTCTCCTTTATTTTTTGTTGTTGTTGTTGTTGTTCAGAAGAATTTATTATTTTTAACAGCATAAATGAGAGTTCCATTTTTAGGACTAGTTCTTCTAGAGTATCAGCCTAGTTAATTACCCTTAGTTGCACAGTGAATGGCCTCCTTTGTTAATCGCAGGACATTCGGGGCGGGGTGGGGAATGCAAGCTGCACTCAAACAGTTATAATCTCCCATTCAAAGGCTGATCTTCAATCTTCATCAATGTATAGACTGTTTTAAGAGCTGTGCTGCTGGCAGTGGTTATAATACTGTGTGTGTGTGAGAGAGACGCAGCCCGGAGGGAGAGTTTTAAAAGGAAGGTTGAATTCTGTAGCATTTTTCTTTCCAGTCCAAAACTTGTTTGTGTTCCAAGGTCTCATGTTGCATTTGTTTTCCTTAAAAAAAAAAAACACCCACACACGCGCACACAGACAAATTAATAACAACCCATTGAAACAGTTTTTTAAAAAGGCAAATAATCCAGTAGGTTTGTGCTGTAAAGCACTTCTTATTTAAAACATGTAATTATCTAGGCCAGTGATGGCTAACCTTTTCGTTGTCGCGTGCTGAAAGTAGGCGCCTGTGTGTGCCTGCACCCATAACGCAATGCGCTGCACCATACAACTTTGTGCATGCACGTGTGGAACCCCCCCCCCTTTGTGCATGGTGCACGCCTCTGTGCATGCACATGCATCTCCTGCACACGCCCTCTCCATGCACGGCAGATACGCAACAATCGGCTGGCGGGAGGCATGCGCACATGTGCAGTGGATCTGTTCCAGGCGACAGCTTGAGTGCCGTCAGAAATGGCTCTGTGTGCTACTTCTGGCAAGGGTGCCATAAGTTCGTCATCATGGATCTAGGCCCACTGTGGTTGCTGGTGAGTGGGTCATCTCCAAGGATGTAAACTGCATACAAAAGTAATTTTGTTATTGTGCCAGGAAATAACCACGGTGGTATGGTGTCAGCAGATGCTTCGCAGAGGATCTTGTCCAGTGGGGTGGGATTCAAATAATTTAACGAACTGGTTCTCTGCCCTCATGATTTCTTCCAACAACCAGTTCACCAAACTGCTCAGAAAGTTAATGACCCGATTCTCCTGAACTGGTGCAAACTGGCTGAATCCCACCACTGATCCTTGTCAGATTTGTCCATTCAGAAGTAAATCCGCTGGAATTCAGTCCGTCATTTCTTTGGACAGACATGCAAATACAAAACTTTGTCCATCAAGCAGGGCCTTTTTCTTTCTTTTCCACGTCCTATGGAAAGAATTAGTTTAGTTTAGTTTATTGCCATTGCACCTCGTTTAATGAAATTAAACGCCATCTTTAAGTGAACATTTTACATAAAACAAAACAAAAAAACACATCAATTCACATTCTATACAATTGAATTGAAACACCCCAACACCCCACCCCGATATTGCATTAATAGTGCACTACACAGTAGAATTCAGCTACCCTGGGCTAGAAGCTGTTTTTCAGCCTATTTGTCCTTGTTTTTATTATCTTGTACCGTCTGCCAGATGGTAATAGTTCAAAAAAGGGTCCCCAGGATGGAGATGGATCTTTGAGAACGCTTTGAACTTTCTTAATGCAGAGAGAGCTATAAAAAACAATTGCTACCAACCTGCCTTCCATTGCACGAGTCAAAAAGAGGGATGTGAAAATATCTACAGACCCCTCACATTCGGGACATAAACTGCTTCAACTCCTTCCCTCAAAATGATGCTATAGAGCCCTGCACACCAGAACAACTGGGCACAAGGACAGTTTTTTCCCCCAAACGCCATCACTCTGCTAAACAAATAATTCCCTCAACACTGACCAACTATTTACAAAGTCTACACTAGTATTACTATTAATCTTCTCATCACTCCTTATCGCTCATCCCCTCCCACTTGTGACTGTATGACTGTAACTCTGTCTCTTGTATCCTTACGATTTATACTGACTGTTTCCTAGTATGATCTGATTGCTTATTGTACCCCATGACTATCATTAAGTGTTGTACCTGATGATTCTTGACGAATGTATCTTCTTTTACGTACACTGAGAGTTTTTGCACCAAGACAATTTCCTTGTGTGTCCAGTCACACTCGGCCAATAAAGTATTCTATTCTATTCTATTCTATTCTATTCTATTCTATTCTATTCTATTCTATTCTATTCTATTCTATTCTATTCTATTCTATTCTTCTGTTATTCTATTCCTCTTCCAAAGAGGGGAGAGGGCAACCCATGATCCTCTGGGCAATGACGCTAACCCTCTGGAGTGCTGTCCTATCTGCCCCTGTGCATTTGGCAAACCGTACACAGGTGCAGTAAGTTAAAATAACTCTCTGTGGTGCAGTGGTAGAAGGTCACCAGCAGTTTCTCATTCAGTTGTTGTTTTCCTGAGAATATTCAAGGCGGAGAACCCAGGACTTACAGTCTTCAGCGGTACAGCTCCTGGTTGTCCTTCTACACCTGTCGCCTAGGCTTGTGTTTCTCATGACAAAGAGATTAAAGCAAAGTCTCACCTTTCCTTCCTTCCTTCCCCACCCCTCCTTTTCTTGTATTTTTCCAAGGTTCCTGTTGCGTGCAAATCCTGTCCGTGTGGCTACATCTTTATCAGTCGGAAGCTCCTGAATGCCAAACGTTCTGAGAAGCTACCATCCTCTGCAGGTATCGTTTCAATTCACCTGGTTTGGGTTCAGCCCGAAACATAGGCGGTCCTCGACTTAACGGCCACAATCAAGCCCAGCGTTTTCATGGCAAAAAAATGAGGCGGTTGTTTAAATAGAGTTTTGTCCCATTTGATGACCACTCTTGCCGCGGCTGATCAGCAAATCAGTGCAGTTGCTCAGTTAGCGGCCTGGTTTGTTAACAACCAGGGCACCGCAGCCGTCATAAATATGAGTCAGTGGCCAAGCTCAATCAGTAGGGAAGCCAGATTCACTTGTCAGTTGTGTTACTAACTTCACAACTGCAGTAATTCACTTAACAACTGTGTCAAGAAAGGTCGTAAAAATGGGTCGTAAACAAAAGGTTGTAAAACTCAGTAACTGTCTCATTTAACAACAGAAAATTGGGACTTAATTGTCATAACTCAAGAACTACCTGCATTAGACATTATTGTGCAAAAATATAATTCTTTATCAACATTTAAGCTCAGAAATATTCTTTCTTTCTTGGGCTTGATTAACTCATTTCCATTTTTCCCCTTTATCGCCTCTCTTTCTTCTCCATATCTCCTTAAAACATTTTTGTTTGTTTCATTAGTGCAACTCTTTTCTATTGGTAGAGAAGATTCCTCTTCTTCCTTTCACCTTCTATATTTACATTTCTGTTTGTTGGGCTTTTTTTTTTCTGTCTTATTTTGTTCCTCTGTTTTGGGGCTTGGCAGCCCAGAGGTTCCTTGCAGATTAACATTTCTTCTACTGGAAAAACTGCTCTTAAAGTATCTTCTATGAAAAACGAGTTTGCCCAACTTCAAAAATAAGGAACGGTTCACGGGGGACTTGATTTACGACCACGTTCTGCTTTGTGCGTTTAAAGAAAGCCTGCGGACTTGGTGTTCCCACTCCTTGTCCAGCTTAAAGAAGCCGAAGAGAAAATACAGGATGGAGCAAACCTCTCTGAACAATTCCAGATCTGATAACGTGTGTGTGTGTGTCTGTTTTGAAAATGTCTTGCCGCAGAAAGCAGAAGTGATGCTAAGAGAAGGCGCACGGAGAGAGTCAAAAGGGAGAAGATCAATCCCGCGGTAAATAAAGACTTAGAAAACAGGAAAAGATCCAGATCGCACAGTCAGTCAGATCACAGCCGAAGAGGAAGAGGAAGGCCCAAGGCGGCGTCATCTAAGAAGCACGATGAAGAAAAAGGTAACGAACATTATTTGTTAAGTTGGTCGTGTTTTTTTTTTGTTTTTTTCAAAAAATAAGACAACCTCCATAGTTTTGTAAATTAGAAATTAGACTGCCCTCCTTTCGTAAGAGTCTGAAGACGTGGAGCCCATTAAATCAGGTGTGTCCAACTCGATTTCATTGAGAGCCGTATCAGGGTTATGTTTGACCTCGGGGGGGGGGGGGGGGGGCTGCGGTGGGCGTGGCCAACTCGACATCACTCTTGTCAGGGGCGCCTGGGGTAGCCTGAGCGCTTTGCCGGTGAAAACAGGCTCCTGAGCTCTGTTTTCGGCTGCGGCGCCCTCCTGCAACCCGCTGCCAGCAAAAATGGAACCGGGGAGGGAGCTCACACCGCTGCGTTTTCACTGTCAGAGGCCCCGCGGGCCGATCCTTCACTGCTTCCAGGCCAGCCCTATGGGCCAGATCTTAGCAGCCCGCGAGCCGGATCCCAAATTCAGTCTCTATTGAAATCATGCCGTGGTGGCGCAGTGGTGAGAATGCAGTATTGCGGGCTGATTCTGCCCACTGCCAGGAGTTCGATCCTGACCGGCTCAAGGTTGACTCAGCCTTCCATCTTTCCCAGGTCAAGTCAAATGAGGACCCAGATTGTTAGGGGGCAAGAGGCTGACTCTGTAAACCCCTTAGGGCTGTAAAGCACTATGGAGTGGTATATAAGTCTAAGGGCTATTGCCATGCCGGACTTCAGAATACAGAAAAATCACAGAGGACGAAATGTCAAGCCATTTACTTAGAAATAATAATATTATTATTATTATTATTATTATTATTATTATTATTATTATTATTGAAAGAAAATTTACCCATACAACCTGGCTAACCTGGAATTAGGATGAGCATGTTATGATTTTATTTATTGTACGTTCATTAATGCAACGTGACTTTCACTGGAGGAGACAGGGCGCTGTTTGGCTTCACCAGGCCCGGTAGCATCCGATGCCCCTTGTTAGAATAAGTAGGATCCTCACCTAACTCAACACGCTGCTTCTTGCGTTAGCGTTCAGCGCGGTAAAAGTTTATGCCTGCATCTCAATTCCTCCCCTGTTTCCACTTCCAAAGACCAGGACCTGAAAGGCTCAGTTGACGCAGTTTCTTTTCTCCTACAGAGAAACAAGAAAAAGAAGTGGACATGTACGCCAACCTCTCGGACGAAAAAGCATTTGTATTTTCTGTGGCCTTGGCAGAAATAAACCGAAAAATTATCAACCAGAGGCTGATTCTTTGATGCTGCAGCGGTGACCTCTGCATGCCCTGCTGTTGGAAACGCAAGTGGTGCATTTTCAGATCTTCCATGGCCTCTCAGGCAGTGAATGCTGTTACCCTGCGTCGGTCGAGGTCATTTCGTGGGGTTTACACCCCTCTCCCTGGCTGAATCTCTGCCGCTTGTGATCGCTTTCGAAGCCGGCCGATGGTCAAGAGGCAAAAAGGACCAGCTCTTTGCTTTGTGGCAGGGGCAGGGGGTGGGGGGGGGCAGATGTCAGAAGCAACCATCCTTTTCATTCTGCTGAAGCAGCTGGAAGAATCTCCCAAGAGTTTTTTGCACACCGATCCACTTCAAACCGCAGTGTGTTTTAATTTAAACTTCAGCTTCAACTGCTGATTTTCAGTTTGCATCGAACTTTTCTGTGTATATAGTCAATCTTAACCTGTACATAGGTTGATAACCCTGGCATTTTCCTTTAATCCACCGATTGCGACACCAACTGGTGGGTTTAAGTCAAACTTATTATTATTATTATTATATAATACGTTATTGGTTGAAGCGTCTTTCTGCATTGTTCTAAACTTGACCAAATGGACGTGTCAGACTATAACCATAGAAACACACGGGAATAAATTGCGTCGAACTCATTGGGATGGGAGTCAGCAGGCCTATACTCTGCTGATGGGCTTTGATAAAAACTTATTTTATACAGCCTTTGGTTTTGGGGTTTTAAAATCCTGTAATCCAGGACTTATTTTAGTTGGCACCGGATCAACAAAAAGCTCCTGTCTAGGATTTCATATGGAAATTGTCTTACTAAATTTGTTTTGCATTAGCAGTGTTGCAACGCCTCCATGTCAATTAAAAGAATTTGAATAGAAGCATCACATGTTTGCGGTTGCAGTGAAATAAGAGAGACTATTTTGCTTCCTTCGTAGCAATTAAATCGATTAACTAAAGCTCACATTTCGGTTCCCAAATGCTGCTAAACTATGTTTGTATAAATATGAGACAATATATCACATGGCATCATCTCAACGGCAGTTCTGATGTTGGGACACAATGCAGTTTCATTTTGATGTTCTTGTTTTGATTTTTTGAATGGGAAATCCTCAAGTCTTCTCCAGAAATATTCAGAAATCGGATCAAATACAGCCAGAGACGCTTTCTTTTATCTTTTATCTCAAATCAATTTATCGCGTCTCTGGAGCTTCTCTTTCTATTGTTGCAAGATGTGGAATAGAACAGAACAGAACAGAATTCTTTTCAGATCTTAGTAGACAAAGCAGAATTCTTTTGATAGTTGAAGGTTAAAGGAACTTACTTTGGGATTGGTTCATGTGATGTGATGATGAGTAAAAAGGGGATGGTTTGTAGGTTGGGACATTGTGGGGAAGCCGGGAAACTTAGTTTCGGAATTCCACAGATGTGCCACGTGCTCATCTAATAAAAGTCCTTTTGAGATTACCCTTGTCTTGGAGTTACTGACAGGAATGGATGTTCCCTGCAACGCTGGCATCAGCACCCAGAAGGCAATGTGTGCTGGCCTCCCCACGCCCCCTGCACATGTGTGCACGATCCCCCCATGTCGCTGCACATGTGTGAGGTCCCCCATGTGTGCTGCACATCTGCACATGTATGCGCGTCTCCTGCACACACACCCCCGCATGTGCACCAGGTGCCCAGCAATCAGCTATTGGGCGGCGCATGAGCGTATGCGCCATAGGTTTGCCATCACGGATGCAGCGGCTACCTTCAACTGATGTATGTGTTCAATTAACCTACTTCCAAACAGCTATACCATTTGTATTTATTTGTGCCTCGGCTTAGAAAAGCAAGAAAATTCTAACAATATCTCTACATGCAAACACACATAATATATGTACACTGGCACACACACAAGAGCCATATTTATTTGGTAGCTGTATGCAGCCTTTATATGCTCTCGTGCCAGCTGTCCCTATTTTTTTCCCCAAATAAGGAAATGAATTAGGGAGGAAAAAATCCATATAGGGATGAAATTAACTCATCGCTCTTAAATGTGGTTAAAGTAATGCTTCCCAGCTGGAGCCAGGGTTTTATATTAACGAATGCAGTGTCGAACATATTTGGCTGTAGTTTCATTTTTATTACCTGTTTGTAGGACACTTGCGCACACACCTCAATCCCATCGATTTCTCATGCCTTTGCTTTTAGTTCTTCCAAACTATTAAGTGTTGTGCCCTATAATTCTTGAGTCTTTACGAATGTATCCTTTCTTTTATGTACACTGAGAGCATTTGCACCAAGACAAATTGTGGGTCCAATCACACTTGGCCAATAAATTTTTTTGTTCTGTTCTGTTCCATTCCATTCTTTCCTATTCTATTCTATTTTTTATTCTATTTTATTTTTTTCTATTCTATTCTCCATCCATTCCATTCCATTCTATTCTATTCTATTCTATTCTATTCTATTCTATTCTATTCTATTCCATTCCATTCCATTCCATTCCATTCCATTACTCTACTCTACTCTACTCTATTCTATTCCTGTTCTGTTCTATTCTGTTCTGTTTTCTATTCTATTTATTCTATTCTTTCCATTAATTGCTTTGGTTGTTATCTGGCCTTTAAGCCTGTATTGAATTTGTGACTAGGCAGAGGTTTTGCACTCAAGCTTTAAGGACCCTTCACTAAAACCAACAACAACAAACGTAAGATGCAATAACACGCATTTACCCAAATTGCAGCCTTGTTCTCCAGAGGCGAGCAAGTCACATGCATCCTGCACACATTGACAGCCTTCCCTTAATCAAGTTGCACGTTTTTGAATGGCATAAATATAATGGGGGGGGGGGGGGGACACCATAACAAAACGAAGACCACATCCCTCCCCCAGGCTCTTGGATTCTTTGCCTGTTCCCTTCGATCCAAAGTCACCCTCCTTGTCCCAAACAGGGATCCTTGCAATCGCATAGAGAAATCTCCCCACCAGCTCACAGGCTTAGCCCAAGATCAGTCTTTTACAAGGAAATTGGAATTCTGAACGAAGCTTGAGAGTTTACTGGCCGGATGCCAGTACTTTTTATTATTTTTTTCTGTTCTGTTCTATGGGTTCAGAAGGTTTTTTTTAAAAAAACAAAACAAAACACAGTTTTGTTCTTAAGAGTCTGAGGTTATACTCTTTTAACTTCGGGCGTTATACATTTTCCCACAAGGAGAAGTAGTTTGCTCCAATTTCTTGCTTTGCAAGGTGAGGTTGTGTATGACTGCTAGCCCATAACGGTTCCACACTCAAGTAAAAACTTCTGAGTTTATCCCTGCCTCTCTCCTAACCCAATGGAAAAGAATGGAATGGGATTATTATTATTTTTTTTAAACAGTGGCCCTTTGAAATAAAAAGGAAAGAATATTCAAGCTTGATCTATACTCCTTCAGAAACTTCATAACGATTGAGGGTGGGGTGGGGGAAAGCGGCCAACAGCTTTGTTAAACATCCTTGACTTGTGGCTATAATCAAATCCGCCATTTTGGGCTCAAATTGTGATGATCGTAAAGGCCTCTCACCGTATCGCCAATATCGGATTTTATAGCCTGTTTTCTTGTTTCTTTTTGTCACGATTGTTAAGCAAACCTTTTGTTCACCATGGGGCAGTTTTTGCCAAGTTGTGATTTCTGACAAAAATGTCCTAAATTCCCACTTGATCACAGGGGGGGGCTGCAAAGGGGCCCCTAAATGTGGACAGGTTGCCAAGCGACCAACATACAGTTGTGTGATGGGGGGAACAGATGTTGGAAATTTGAATACGGAGGTTACAAGTCCCTTTTTTTTTGGCTTCTGTTGTAACTTGGAATGATTG